ATCATTGATCTTCGTCGAAAATAGCACAGTGAAGGGAAGAGACAGAGATACAAAGGAGAAGCGCGAAATAGCAAGGCCTCAAGAAAACATCTTGATGAAATTCTCCACTTCGAGTCAAAGCAAGTCGAAGCACAGACTGCATCGTGAAATGTCTTCTTATACATGACACCTAATTCCAATCTTCACAGGGGGACAAAGCGGGAGCCGGTGACGGAGGATTTTACAAACCCGTCCGACAGAAAGCAAGCCGAAAGCTGAATAGTTGCAAGATTAGACTGTGAATTACCGTTGATTTAAATATTCCAAAATAAGTATCAGCTAACTTTCTGCAGACACATTTGACTTCCTCTTAGAAATAGCTTCGAAATTTTGTTTTTTTCTTTTTTCGTGACTTTTTTATTTGTGCTTTTTAACAGCTTTATAATTTGGCTATTTTTCTTCTGCTTAGGCCATTTTTGGTAATGTATAAGTGTTATTTTCAGGAGGATCAGACGCTGTCTTCATACTTCTGGCTTATTGCGCTGATTATTGCCCTTATTTTGGTAATTTTTCTTTTTTTATTAAAACTGGCCAGCGAGTCAGGGTTGGGACTTGATAAAATTCTGTACAGTTTTGTCAGACTTGACTGGTTGTGAGTTGCATGTCACCAGTTATAATACCTGTTACGGCGGCGACGACGTTACGACGAATGTTACGACGATTGTTCAGACGATGGTACGACGGTCTTCGAACGAAACTTGGACGAATGACGGTGTACTATATGTACTTGGTGGAGGGGCTGGAGTAATCAAAACGAACTTTATGAACACAAATAAAAGTTCACGGTTGAATACTTGGGCTGGTGGGGCTAAATCGGATGATTGCAGCGAAACCGCTGCCGACGGAGAATGCTGAACACTGGAGCGCAGTAACATACTGCTAAAACGGAACACTGAACACCGCATTTTACAACAAAATTGCAGACTTATATACTTATCACAAAGGGCGGGACAGATCAAAGGGATCGAGCGGTCAATCTGCTGCGCAATTCTGGATTGCTCTTTGCTTCTCCTGCGCACCATCTTTTGCTTGCTTTACATACCTAGCTTCCTACTCGCTACTTTGGAAATTTCTCAGTTGGCAATTTACTTTGTTCGTAGTAGCAAGCACTGCTTTGTAGCCACTTATTATCAGGACTACCAGCATTTGTTCTACGGTCGAACTGTGCAGGTTATCCCATAATCCTCCGCTTTTTCCTGTACCAAAAATATCTCTGCCGTGTAGACAGCCAATTTTGGGAGCCCATTTTTAGTGATGCTACTGGGATGCTCCTAAACGCCGGTTAGCTATCCATATCGACAGTCCGGACGATTTTGAGAAATTTATTCGATTTTATAAAGTCTTTAAAAAAAAAGACGAGTGAGAAAGCTTCCCTATATCTTTTTTGTTATTCTTCGGCCTTCCTACAGCTGCAAATTTCCACCCCTCATCTATCAAAACCGGGAAATTCCTATTTGGAATGACTACTTTTTGGTTGGGCCTCCATGCCTCCTTCTTCCCTTTCTATTTCATTAAAACTAAACTTTGAGGGCTTAAAGGGAACTTGTAAAAATTTTGAATCATGTTGGCGCTGTTGTTTTGAAGGCCCCAGTGGCAATGCGCTGCTTTTTTAGGTCATAATGGTCCTGTTGATTTGCTTATATCGACGTCGTAACGTCATGGAAACAACATTCACAAAAATGAACCGATCACAAGTGCAGTATTACCCAACTTTCAGTTCCGAACGTTCTTTCGATTACTGATTTGTACATAAGCAAAATTTTGGCATGTATTTTTTTTTTCTTACTGTCACAAAAATACGATGATTTTAACTCTCCACTAATTTGTTTTATTGCTAATAGTACAACGTGAAATTCTGTCTTTGCTTAGTACTCCGTACCTTGAAAGGCAGGCTAACTTTTTTTGAAAATCTTTTTCGAAAAAATTTCGAAAAATTTAATTTTCGGGGGATTTTTTTGAAAAGTTTGGAGAATTTGGCCGCATATTTGAAAAGTTTTCTTTTTGTTTAATACTTTGCTTTTTGAAGGCAGGCCAGCCTTTTTTGAAAATCTTTTCCTCGAAAAAAGTTTGAAAAATTTTATTTTTTGGGATTTTTTTGAAAAGTTGGAGAAAAAAGTTTTTTTTCGAAAAGCTATTTGCTTTATTTAATACATCTCTGCATCTTTCACTCGTCAATTTTGACAGGAAATCTCATACTGCTTTCTTTTTATTCCTCCATGGGTAAAAGGGGATTGCTTGTATTTTTTGCCTGCTTTTTTATCAGTTTTCAATTTCCAGAATTCGCGAAGTTTTGATAAGAATTTGAACTTATATTTGAAATAACTCTAATTCAAAATATGTTTTATCAGCTATATAGTAGGCAGACTTGCAGGCAGCTCTACAAGTAATCCTTTCTACTCGTTCATTCCATAATTTTGGTGCCTACATTTTTCAATATTTGTTGTTCCATGCCTTTTTCTTATTCACTTTTCTATTGTCTTAATCACAGGGGTTCTCACTCTATGCGTGTGTTTACAGCTAAGGGATGAAACACAGACTGCTCTCCATTGGTATATATATACCCATTATCCCTGTTGTTAATGTCTTGATTTTTTTTTTGTAAACCATCGTCGTAAAAATTTTTTCCGGAACTGGAAAATACTGGAGTTAAATAGCCTATGATATGAGAATATACAAAGGCTTTTGTTCGGCGTTCTGTAGCACTTTTCTTTATTGGTATTTTAGATTACCGTGTCGAATAGCCCTTCTTGGCCATTGGCGGAAAGCTTGATCCGGCTTTTTAAGACACTGTTATGCTTTAACACAGTTCTTGAGAAAAGTTAAGTACAAATCTAACCATTGGACTAGGAATTGGCCAAGTTTCTTTTCGAAAAGTAAGTCAGACCAGAGTTCCTTCCAGGATTTAAGGATTCTTCCTTGCTTTTTGCTTTATTTCTGGTGAATACCCCTACCTGGTATACTCAGTCGAGACAAGGTTATAGCCGAGAGTGATATGTAAAGCTGAATTTTCCCGCTTATAAATTAGTAACATCGGAAGTTCCACATTGGTACTTAGGGCCGTTTTCAGGACATACTGTTATTGAAAAGAACAAAAGAACAGCTGAAGGAAGCCTGTCTTGAGAAAATAATACAATACTAAGAATAATAGGACCGCCGAGCAATTAGTATGGGAATTTTGTCCAGTTAGCATTTCCCGCTTTTTTGATGCTTTATAAGTTCAGCAAGAGCAAGGTTTGAGCCATTCTATAGTTAAACATGTGAATAGTCTGTGTTTCATTCCTTAGCTGTAAATACAGACAAACTAATAGGTGCAAGTAGAAGTGGGAATCATCACTACAGCCTCCTACCACCCGTGTAGAATTTCTTTTATATGTTACTAAAAATGGTTGTTCTTTTTCTCGTCGATTCTCAAATTCTTCACTTTGTTTTGCTCACTGACCCGATAGTTAATTCTGTTAACACGGTGCCTTTCGTTAACACTCTTTCCGTAATGTTTTCGCTGTTGAAATTTTGTGCAGTAATTCGCTGAGATTTTGTATTCTACAGCATCCAGAACTTGTTCTCCTTGAATTTTTTGCTCCATTTTTTTTTTTCTTTGGATCTCAGCCTCACCACATTCTCACTTTGTTTTTTAGTGCTGGAATTGTTATTTTGTCCGGATTCTTCTTCATGGTACTTACTAGCTTCTGTTACCCTTTTTCGTGTTCCATTCATATATCACTTATTTTATTTTGTCAATCTTGGTGCTTATATACCCGGCCTTACAATCTTATTAACGTGCAGGAAGCGGGATTTTTCAATTCCCGGTCTGTTTTCTCTGTTGAACTGGTAATTTCTGCTTTCCACTTGTTTGGCTTGAATTTTCCCCGAAGATTATCTATCTTGTTCATTTTTGTGCTGTCGAAATAAACCTGTATATAATTGTTCAGTGTTTTCAACTCACAATCACATATCACAACTCAAAAATTTGAGGTTTCCGAATTTTCCTTGAGAAAAATTTCAGCCAGACAGAGGGGCTACTGGATTTTTTTCAACAGCTAGAAAATCCAATAAAAAAAAACAGCTCATAAAGAAAAAGTGGTATACGTCGGAGGATCGATGGGAAACAGGCGTTCATGCAGTCGGATTTTGA